TTAATTATGTTTATTGTTTTTAATTTGAGATAATTAGATTTATTTAATTATCTTGATTAGAGACTAATAGATATGATTAATTAATTTTAATTAATATTGAATTAATCTTTCAATTAAATTAATTATCATGATTAATTAATATCAATCTTCTTTTTTCTTTAATCTTCCTCAAAAGTCGAAGTTATCTTTTTTATTTCAATTTCACACAACACTTTCATGTTCAAACACTTTAGTCCAAAAGTTTCAAGCTTTTTCAAATCAGTCTCCTATTTTTATTTTAATCAAATCAGTCCATTTAATTTTTATTTGTCTTATTATGCATACATTTTTTTTATTTTGTCCATTTTAGTCCAAAAATTAAAACATGTTTCAATTTGGTTTATCCTTTTTTAAGTTTCCCTATCAAGACTTAAACATAAAGAGAATAAATAAGTTGAATTAAAACCCCCAATGTTAAAGTATGCAACCGTAGTTAAACGAAAGATTGTGAGGTGCGCGTATGCCCTTCCTCACTCCTGACCGAATCCTCGAACCCCGATCTCTGCGGAGACCTATTTTAGGTGACCTGTTCCACCTTATAATTTGGATGAGTGGCGACTCCCTTTTCTTTTATATTTAACACTTTTACACTTAATAATGAACATAAATTTTTCATTATTTTTGAAATCTTAAGTGGTCGTCAACACTTGGTCAATTAAATCGGTTGAACCAGACCCAATGATCGAAACGGGTCGATCAGCGGACCGAGTCTTAAAACATTGATTTCCACTCAAATTCACACCTAACAATTATCTCACTTGGAAGGAACAAATCACTTCCTTGATGACCACCTACAAATTACTTGATTTTCTTGAGGATACAAAACCATGCCCTACAGTCCTAGCATCGACAGAACAAATTCCAGACTCCTCGTTTGACATTTGGGTAAGATAAGATCAAGCCTTGCGCCATGACTTGCTTACTATTGTATGAGACCCACCCAAAGTGATCCACTTTCCGCATTCATCATCTCCGACCCGAATCGCCACCCAGTCATCCCTTCCACCGACCACCCCTATTCCTTGTTCCTTTTCCGCAGCCCAATTTGCCACCCCACCTTCCTCATAAGCCGCAAGCCCATTACAGCCTATGGTCCAACATCCTCTCTCGAATTCATCACTACGCACCATTTCTTCTTCACCTTCTTCACCTGTCTCTTCAACCAGTCCCTCATCCAACTAACTTCCCCACATCGTGACTCCTTTTCCAATTTGTCACACGCCACCACTACCTTCAGTGATTCCACTACCTCGGCTTCCCCCATAGCCTTTGTGCCGCTCCAACGCATCCATCCCATGATCACTAGTTCTCAAAACATGATCTTCAAACCTAAGCACCTCTTTCTCGCAACCAAATCCCCAACGATCAGACCCATAAAACCTACATGTGTATCTCAAGCTTTGAAGGATCCCAATTAGTGAAAAGCCATGTCCGATGAATTCACTGCCCTTGTTCCGCAAGGTACTAGGGATCTTGTGCCTCCTTCTCCAACTCAGAATGTGATAAGTGGTAAGTGGGTTTTTTGATTGAAGAGGCGTGCTAATGGTAGTATTGAGCGCTCTAAGGCGCAACTTGTCACCAAAGGCTATCACTAACAACCTGGCTTTGAAGGATCCCAATTGCCAGAAAGCCATGTCTGACGAATTCACTACCCTTGTTCAACAAGGTACTTGGGATCTTGTGCCTCCTTCTTCAACTCAAAATGTGATAGGTTATAAGCGAGCTTTCTGATTGAAAAGGCGTGCTGATGGTAGTATTAAGCGCTATAAGGCACGACTTGTCACCAAAGGCTATCACCAACAACCTCGTTTTGATTACTCAAAGACTTTTAGTCTTGTACTTAAGCCTGTAACTCTTCGCACTATCCTTTCAGTTGCGATAAACAATCACTAGCCTATTCACCAACTTAATATTAACAATGCCTTTCTTAATGGCAATTTGGATGAAGAGTTGTTTATGCAACAACCTACTGGATTTGTTGATGAAACTTTTCCTCATCATATATGCCCTTTAAAGAAGTCTCTGTGTGGCTTGAAACAGGCTCCCTGTGCTTGGTTTCGTGAATTGAAGGGATATTTGCTTTCTCAAGGACTTCAATGTTCCCGATCTGACACCTCTCTTTTCATACTTTGGCAATATGGTATTATTGTTTATTTTCTCATCTATGTGGATGATATTCTGATCACTGGCAATTCCTTACCATTCATTGACAAGTTGATTCTTAATCTTGGTGCCCGTTTTTCTTTGAAGGATCTTGGTAATTTACATCTCTTTTTAGGCATTGAAGCTATTCATACCCCAGTAGGGATATTTCTCACCCAACATCGATACATTACAGAAATTCTACATCGTGCCAAAATGTCTGACGCCATTGCCTTTGCTTCCCCTGTGGCTTCCTCCTGCTCTCTTCAGCAAGGTCCTAGAAAGACTCTCACTGATCTTACTGTCTATTAGCAAATTGTTGGTGCACTACAATATTTGTCCCTCACTCATCCAAACATATCCTTTTCGATAAGCCACCTGTCTTAGTTTCTTCACTACCCCGTAGAATTTTACTGGCAAGCTGTCAAATGTGTTTTGTGCTACCTTAAAAGGAGCTTGCATCGTGGTTTACTTCTTACTCCCCAAACTAAACTCTCCTTGCATGGTTTCTTTGATTCTGATTGGGTTGGGGATTGCGATTCTTATATTTCAACCACTAGGTATGTTATCTTTCTTAGCTCAAATCCAATCTCTTGAAAGGCTACCAAGCAGCGTGTTGTTGCCAGAAGCTCCACTGAGGCAAAATATCATGCTCTTGATGTTGCTTCCTCTGAGATGGTATGGATTAAACATTTGCTAACTGAACTTGGTGTTTCCCACATTAGCTCCCCCACCTTGTATTGTGACAATCTTGGTGCTACCTATTTAAGTAGTAGTCCAGTTATGCACTTGCATATGAAACACATTGTCATTGGCTTGCATTTCGTTCGGGAGTCACTAGACAAACAAGTTCTTCATGTGGCTCACATTTCTTCTAAAGATCAACTTACAGATGGCTTTACCAAACCTCTGCCTACTACCTGATTTTTACAACTATGGTCCAAGATTGGAGTCGTTGATGGCTCCTCCATCTTGCGGGGGCGTAAGGAAAGTGCTATTTGATATAATTCTCTTATTATTAGAGAAATATATAATCTTTGATTATGGACTCTGTAAATAGAAACTAGTTTTTCTATTTCCTTGCTTATGTATCTTGGCCAATACTCTACTGCTGTATCTATATGTGATCAATTGTTAATAATATTATTATTCAATTCTGCCATTCACCTTGTCTTATTAGTTTACACTAGGTTCAATTGCTTCCCTAGGCATTCATATGTTCACACCAGCGAGCTGTTTTGAATATGTGAGAGAAGAAAGCCACGCTTCGAGACCAATGGAGAATACAGAGCACGGGGCTCAACCCACCTCCCCGATCTGCCCTCCCCTTCTCTCCTCGTCTCATCGTCGTTTCCTTTTTCCAGACCACTGCCCCGAAAACGTGCTCAGCCAAGTATACAACACCCGCCAATCTCAAAGCTCATCAACCCTTAAATGGAGAGCTAACAGCTGCTGCAGGAACAGTATAGAAACTGTCTAGGAACAGTGAGTCGTGCTTCAAAAGGGTGAGGAAATTCCCAAAAGAGACCATTGAATAGTTGAAAAATGAGGGTTTTTTTCGAGAATCAGCCAGAACGGATCAACGGACGCCGTTGCCTTTCCCCTGGACCGCGCTTGAAATGACGATGAGAACGATGAACAGTTGCAGAGTTAAGGGCAAATACGGGGAAAAGGCCAATGAACAGAACAGCCACAAGGCCGGGCTTTTGAATTGTAGTGTGAAAAGACGGTAAGCCCATAATACAGAGCACTGTTAAAAGGGCATTCTTGGAAGCTCATGCACTAAAGGTTGGGCCTAAAAATATTGAATGGTCTAGCAACAGTTAAATTCTTTTGAAAAAGTGCATGAAAATACACAAAACCCGGCTACAAAAGCACCGTTGAGTGGTTTTTTTGGAAGCTAACAGCACTGATCTTCTATATTTTTGGTCGATGAACAGTTTAGAAACAGTAATTATTTTGATTTTGATTTGGTCGATTTTTTTAAATTATTTTCATATTTTATTTTATTTTTTTGAACGGATTTATACATGGAGTAAAGGAATTCGAACCCAATGGCTGGGTTGAAGAAATGTACTTTTTAATTCAATTTATAGTTGTTAGCTTATAAGGTCGAGATGTAAAATTATTTTCATAATATAATTAATTAACTAAAATAATTAAAATATACTATTATTTTTCATTTTTTGTTATTAAAATTTTTTTCTTTTTAATTTTGATTATTTTTATATGTAAATTTGACTTTAAAAAAAGAATTTTATCTAAAAAAATTTTATATAACACAAAACCTAAAGAAGAAGACCTGTCGACCTAATGACCTAATAGTTTAATGTAAATTTTTTTCACCATAATAAAAGTTCATTCCTTTCCTTACCTTCCTCCCGCACAAACCACTTGCCCTTATAAAAAAAAAAAAAAAATCTCAAAGACTAAAATAAAAAGATAAAAAAATTTATACCAAAAATTTTTAAATAATTTTATATAATTTAATGACTCATATCAATAATTTTAGATATAGGTCAAAAATCATATTTAAACCAGAATTAATTTCAATACTTTTAATTTTATCTAAATTTATCTAAATATTTAAAGTATCTGAATCAAAATTAAAAAATTTGGATAAAAAATTCAAATAATTTGGCAATATCCGAAATGTTAAGCATCCCTAAGCAACAGTAGCAATGCTTTGCAATTTTGTGTAAAAAGACCAAAAACCCAAAACAAAAGAGAAATGTCAAAGGCCAATTTTGGACATCCGTAAGACTCACCTTTTATACTTTCTGGTTGATAGGATGAATTGTCCATGCACTACCCCCTTTCCTTTTTGAGTTTGGGTTAATTGTCTGCACTCCATGTCTCCAGTCCGTTACTTTAATAAATTTGAAGATTTTAACATTTATTTTATAGTATAAAATTTTAAAATTTTAAATTTTAAAATTTTAATCTTTAAATTAATAAGATTAGTTAATTCTCAGTTTAATTAATAATAAAATATTTATAAAATTAATTTTTAAATATTAAAAAATAATAATTTAATTTTAAAATTTTAAAAATTTTAAAAATAAGTAAATTAAAAAAATCAATAAATGACTTTTTCATATATATTAAAATAATATTAAATATTTATAATCAAATTAAACAATTAATTTAATTTTTAAAAAAAATTCTGACTGAAATTTAAGAAAAAATTAATTGAATTAAGATAAAAGTCTAAAAAGATTAGAATACAATCAAAACATTTTTAATTTTAGTGAAATTTTTAAAAATTAAATTAACCACTTAATTTGATTGTAAATATTTAATATTATATTATATTTTTTTATATATGGTAAAATTATTTATTAATTATTTTTAACTTATTATTTTTTTAATTTTTAAAATTTAAAAATTAAATTATTACATTTTAAAATTTTTAAAAATAATCTTATAAATATTTTATTTTTATTTTAATAAAAAATTAATAAATATTATCAATTTAAAAATTAAAATTTTTAAATTAAATTTGTAATTAAAACTTTTAATTTTAAAAAATAAAAATTTTAGTTTAGGGTAAGGATTAAAAATTTTATTTATTTATTTATTTATTTAACAAAAAAATAATTAAATTAATAAATTAATATCCATTTTGAAAGATATTAAACCTGAAATCAAAAATGCATTTTTTTTTTAATAAGGGTAATTGTTAGAAAGTCAGTATAAACTAGTTGTTAGTAACTGAGATTTTCAGAATAGTAAATATTTCACTCCTTAAATAAAGGGCATAACTATTAAGTCACAAATTGATGAAGTTCACGGCGGTGGCAGAGTTCGAAATCCTATTTCACCTCACCCAAACCCTAAAATTTGGACCAGCCATTGTAACTCAGGCACGGTTGAGATTAAAAGTGTATTTCGCCCTTCTGAACAGCAGTATCACCGTCGGGCCACGAGAGAATGCATTTATTTATTTATTTGAAAATAGGCAATGGCAAAGACTTTAATGTTACAATAGAAATCCAAAGGCCAGGCGCGTCCTGTCATTGTCAATCACCAAGGCGCATCCTGTCATTGTCAATCACCGTGGTATCGCGAGCACATCAGACGTGGAATCTTTTTTTACACTTCAGCATTCGGAAGCTGATGTGGATTCCGCATACCAGTCACGTGGTAAATCACCGATGCAGCTCATTGACGTAACGGTAGAAAGCGTTTAACGTCGTCAAGAATCGTTAACGTCGTTGACGGAGAAAAAGCCCTAGCTTCCCCATGTTAGAAGTTCTCCCTCCCTCCTCATGTGCGACTAAAGCACCTTGCGCGCCTTCGTTTTCCATCTCATCTCAGACGGCGAGGGAGGTGTAGAGGCGGACGGCTATGGGCTATAATTTCGTACTATAGTGGTTGTTGTGGTTGATTGTGTCGCATTGGAGTCTGATAGGAGCTTAATGAAGATTTGGGGATCTGGTGGTGGTATTCAGATGATAGGTGAGAGACGAGATTTTTTAAGGTACTTTGCGAAAGGAAGAGGAAAAGAGAGCTTCAAGTATAAAAAAGATAATTTCTCTTTTGAGATAAGTTCAGTCTATTTGATCTCTTATTTTCAATTCTTGCATATTGATGATAAATTTATGTTCATTATTTTAAATCGTTAGATCGTGAATCTGGAGTTTTGGTTAATTTTATATGATTTCTATTAAGTTTTCAACTGATTATACATTATTTTTTTGGTCCAGTCAGGTCATTATACTGATTGAATATGGTTTTGTTAGATGGGTACTTGAAAATCAAGTTCTTGGTCAATCTACTCTTCAAGTGGCCAGAATTTAGGTTCTGCTTTAACTTGGTAAGAGATTTATGGATGGCAAACATATATCTCCTGAATTTGAGATGCAAGCTTTTTAAAATTTATCAGGCAACTTGAAATTGTATAGAATGGAAGAAAGGACTTAAAAAATCCATGAGAAATTGAAGAGGATCCAAGAGAGGAACTCAAAGGAGAGCACGAGCGGAGGAAAAAAAGGAATCTGAGAGAAATTAAAGAGATTTTCTTTTCTGAATTGAAAATTTTTGAGACTCTAGATTAAAAAAACTGGGTATTTCTTTAGTATTTTTTTGTGACTTCGGAAATCATTTTGTATTTGGCTAGATGTGCCTTTTGTGATGAGGTGGAGGAAAATGCTATTCACCTGTAAACATTGTAAAGTGGCTTTTAGAATTTGGAAAGAATGTTTCATGGTAGGGGATTGAGTTTGTCATTGCAGGATGCTGTTCTGATGCATTTCATCAACATGGGCACATTTTCAAAAATATTGTTTGGCTTGCTGTTATCTCGACTCATTGGATTTTCAAAAATAACAAGTGGTTCAAAGATATTGAGTTTGCTGAGAATAGAATGTTTGATATCATTTAGGTGTCATATTGGTTGATAAACCCAGTGGAGGGGAAGAGCATGTGATGTTATGTTGTTAAGGAGTGGGAAGTGACCGTATTCTTAATTGTGAATGAATTGTAATGTTTTTGTTAAGGTTTTGAGTATCCCTTGTCTTTGGACTCAATATAATAAATAAAGTTTATTACCATTCAAGAAAAAAAAAATGTTATTAACTTGTCTTGTATCGTAGAGTGGTACAAGTGTACAACTGCAAGCATTCTTTATTATTAATAAAATTTCATCCTATTTGATATTTGTTACCTCTTTTTGTTTGTCATTACTATCTATACAACTTAATCGAACTGAAGTGCTGCCTATCATTGGTACTTTAAAAATAGGAGCATGGAATATATTTACAAACAACTATTAATGAAGAGAAGAGTTTTGAGCATGAAAATTTGATTGGAATTCTAAATTATTTTGAAACAACTTAATTGAATGGATTAATAGTATTTCTCTTCAAAAGAGCATGAATCAAAGGTATTTAATAATATTTACTAGTTCTTTTCAAATCTAATTAGTTTGATTGTATCATTAGAATCATTATAAAATTTGGACATATTTGATTAAAGCATCACTTTATTAAAAAAGTTTTTATTGAAAAAGTTATTAGAAAAGTACTATATAGAAAATTATAAAGTATTAAATGAAAAGTTATTAAATTTTGTAAGGAAGTTTTA